AGGCCCATAGGGTTGCGAGACGTCGAGGCTCTCACATTTTATAGACAATCGGTTCACAGATGGCGTTGAGGCTGTCAGCCTTACGCGCCGGCCGCACTTTACCCCCCAGAAAGATTCCTGTTACTCATTTCTGTTAGAGGCTGAGTCGACCCCACGACCGCAGTGTGGCTGTATGAATTAGGTCAATTGAAAAATCCAATAACCTCATCGGGAATTGAACCCGCGACCTTCCGTCTTATAGCATAGTGGTCAACCAACTACACTATCGCGTGACCCCATGGTAAATCCAAGGGGGACGGAATTTAGACAATCCGATATTGTGACAAAAACTGTGTACTGAAATAGGCTGCGAAGTTTAGAGATTTATAGGAAAGATTTTGCTGCCGAGTTTCACCTCAAGACATGCAGCGTCTGCAAGATGTCACGAGAAACTCAGAATTCCGTGGACTAGACGTGGAACTGCTAACCATTGCCAGTGTGGCGCCAACACACATTCGGATTGCACGGGTCAGTACAGGTTTCTCCTGTATTGACGTCAGGTCTCACTTGGTACGGTAATTCAGCACTTCACCAATCATGTTCCCTTTTTAATGCCGAGGAATAAAATTGCATTTCCTTTCCGTTAAGGCCTCTTTAACTATTTTGTAAGGTTTGGGGGTTTCACGGCGGTGACTATGAAGAATGCCATCATTTGGGATGTGGCGCCGTAAATATCTTGTATGAACCGACGTTTCGGAGGAACGTATCACCTCCATTTTCGGGGTAGAAAAATCCGCGAACGAGGAACCAGCGTGAGCAGGTGGCTATAATATGCAGCCACGTCGGTTCACGGCGCCACATCTCACAAGACGACGTTCTTTATTTTAACTGTGTTTGAGCAAACAAAATGAGCCTTTTCTATCGGCCTTATTCTTGGATTTACATTATGTGAAATTCAAGAGGAACTGACGAGTTGTTTATAAATACGAATCTGCATATGTCTTTTGAAGTCCGCCACTTCCGGTTGGTAGCAGAAAGTATCGATGTGAACGTGGCAACAGGCAGCAGAGAGATTCGGGGTGCATACTAGAAACATCGACACAGCAGTTAATTTGGGTGCTCACAGTTCGAGACCTGACTGGCCGGGGCATATATATCTACCGATTTGTTAAATGGTTGTCAAGCTACACGTTTCTTTCCCGCGACCATCATCAGGCGTGTACAAATAAGCGAATGAAACGACGTTCATTTCTGAACTGCGTGATGCCGTGGATCCATTGCCATGTTTACATAAATATTTTATGAAATTTGAAAAAGTTAAATTTTTCTAAATTATAATTGACAGTTTTAGTAAAATATATGGGAATATGAGAGTAACATATGTATGCACTGGATGTTTGTGTGCGTTTTTCTGTGTTTATGTACAGGTAGAGGCCTTGCGACGAGCTGATCACACGCCCAAGGAGTCCTACCGTATGTCTGAGATCTAGTAAAACCGAAAATGGAGAGTTTCATGGAGGTAGGCGTAGGCCCAAATGAGGGCTGTAGCGCCAATGTAGAAGAAGAAGAAGAGAGTAACATATACTTCCCAATCAATAATTTATTGACCTGTAGCTCCTAATTAATTGCTGTGTCCACGACCTCAATATATATATACTATACATACAAAATAGTATGGGGCACACGGTAGCGCAGTTGGTTGAGGCACTATGCTGCAAGTCGGAAGTTCGCGGGTTCGATTCCTGATGAGGTCATTGAACTTTTCAATTGTCCAAATCCTTCCAGCCTCGCTATAGCCCTGGCTCGACTCAGGCTCTAGCAGAAATGAGTACCAGGAATCTACATGCGGGCAAAGGGCGGCCTTCGCTTAAGGCTGACAGCTTCACCGCTGTGAGTCGAATGTGTAGAAAATGTTGGAGCCTCGACGGCCTGTTCCAAGGATAGCTTTATCTTCTGATTTACATTGAACGCAACTAAATCTCTCTGGACTAGACACATATGAAGGGAATTATATAAATCCCTAATCTAGCACCGGATATTAAAAGACGTTCGGAGTGGTTGGGGCGCGTAATTAGAATGCAAGAAACAAGCGGAGGTTAAGAATTTCCTGAAAGTGAACAAGAAGCAGAAGAGAAGGGGGAACCACGGAGTGAGAGGACAGGAAGATGTGGAGAGAGAATTACGAAAGATGAAAGTGAACAGATAGAGACAAAACTGATACTAGAGAAGAAAGCGCATCTGTCGCGAAGGAGGTCGGAGTTCTTAGAAGACCCGACAAGTAATGGGTATGTGAGAAGTAAGTCTCTTGAAGGATTAACGTCTGCAATGTCAGAAACTTTCGTTAGAACGATATGCAGCAGGTTCCATCTCTATCATCATTATTATCGTGCACCGGAAGTCGCAGTTCAGTTGGTAACAGACCTGCTTCCTGTTCCCAATTTTCCCGGTATTTCTGCGGGTTTTCTCAGTTTATACAGACAAATTCATGGATAATGCCTTAAAGTAGGACATGACATTGTAGTTCCATATCTTTTAAGACTCACAATTTCACTAATTATCCTATTATTTGACGCTATGGAGTCTCAGGTTCTGGTTTCGTCGTTAAACAGGGCAGAGAATCCAAACGTCACTTTCCATCCTCCATGTGACCGCTTCTTATTACGTTACTGTCAGGATTCCTTCTTTCGCCCACTCGAACTACATGCCCAGCCCATCTCAAATCAGTTCCAGTCCCACCTGATTTTCGTTGACCTTCCTGATAGCATATTCTAAAGCAAAGTTCAAAAGCATTGGCGATAAAGCATCTCCTTTTTTCACACAATTTAGATGGGAAATTTATCAGACAAATTTTTACCTGTAGGACTTTACTATAGGTTTCATTTAAACACGTTTTATTCAGTCTAACTAGTTTCATGGGTACTCCAAACTCTATGAGCATATTGTACAATACTTCCCTCCTAACTTTCTTGAAGTCTACCAATAGCTGATGTACTGTCCCGTTGCTATATATATATATATATTTTTTACATCCGTCATATAGACACAAAGGATGGCAGTAATACTCACCTCACTGATATTGATTTCATGTTTCGGCTTAATGGGGTCAACCATCATCAAGTTAAAAAAAGGTAAAACTATCCATATGACAGGCCGTGGGACCCCATAGAGCTGTGAGACGTCGAAGCTCCCACATTATCTAGATAATCTGCTTACAGGTGGTGGTGAGGTTGTGGGCCTTACTCGCCGGCCTCTCTTTACCCCAAGGAATATTCCTGTGTACTAATTCCTGTTAGAGACTGAGTCGACCCCGGAACCATAATGCGGCTGGAAGGATTAAGACAATTGAAAATTCCAGTGACCTCATCGGGAATCGAATCCGCTACTTTCCGACTTGCAGTATAGTGCCTCAACCAACTGTGCTACCGCGTGCTCCAATCATCATCAAGTAGATGACGAATGCACAAAATTTGAGATATCACAGTTATCCTACAGATTAACTGATGTTATCTAGTGTTGGATAAGTCACTAAATTTACAGTGCCTAAAATATTATGAGATACGTTCGTAAGGTGAGTAGACAATAGTAGAACATCTACAAGATATGCTCCTATTATGGGACGTAGGTGCATCGTTATTAATTACAGACGTATGACCGTTATGTCATTAGTTTAAATTCATGTATTCTATTTTATATATATATATATTCTGTGACCATACAGCGGTGGGAAATTTAAACGTAATTGCAAAGTACTTCTTCCCTAAGGTTGCCTATAAAGGCCTGCAAGAGGCCTGTGAGGACCACAGGGTTCTCTAGACAATCGGCTCACAGACGACGGTGAGGCTGTCGGCCTTACGCAACGGCCCCCCTTTACCCCCAGGGAGACTGCTTGTACTTATTTCTGCTAGAGGCTGAGGCGACCCCAAGGCCAAAATGCTGCGGCTGGAAGGATTAGGTCAAACGAAAAATCCAGTGACCTCATCGGGAATCAAACCCGCGACCTTCCGGCTTGTAGCATAGTGCCTCAACCAACTACTCTACTGAGGGGCCCCACATAAGGTTTTCTATAGATAATAGAACATAGGCTGCCCTGTTTCATAGGATGAATTGACTTATCAGTTAATCTATAACAGGGCAGCCGAGATCTTCATACTTCTATGGGTTAATGAGCCGTGCGGTGACAATTCATTGAACCGAAACGTTTCATTCATTCACCAATGACTTTACAGCCCTTTGTTTGGCCCTGCCCACTTTTTTTATTTTCGTAATGCTATACACAGTTGGTAGGACTCCTTGAACGGGGGATCAACCCGTCGTAAGGCCGCTACATACACAAGATAGCACAAACAGCCACAGACATCCGTGCTTTGACCCCAGCTTTCGAGCGGACAAAGACAGCTCAAGCCTCAAACCGCGCGGCCACAGTGCAATGCTGAAATGTACCAAGAATAAGGTGAGGCGCTATGAACGTAAGCTTTTGTGTGGCGGATATAGCCTATATGTGAAAACGACATAACTTGAACTTTATTTTCAAACAGGCCACTACTACTGCAGCTGTATCGGTCAAGAGTCTAGTCTTTAAAGGGGACGTGCATCTAAGTGGGTCTAATTAGGCCTCTGAAGTTGGTTCCTACCTCCAAGTATAGAGCACAGCACATTGCTTACGATGGTCGTCGCGCTAATCGGTGTAGACGCTGCACGGGCGTGTTTCTGCAGAAGACCGGGTTGTTACCTCCAAGAAAACACACTGTATCTTCATTCTCTACGTATATAAGTAATGAGAATGTCACCAGTTGCCTCCATGAAAACATAGCCGCTACTCCGCTGACGATAGAAATACCGACAGATCTATTTAAATTTCTTGTCCTACCTCCAAGAACACACATCGCATCTGCACCAGTAAGGCTGTGAAGGGAAAGACAGCGGAACCAAATATAAGTCACTGCGTGGGCTAAATGCCCTGCTAGAAACATACAATCGGGTGGTAAGCATAGTTACCACTTGGCACGATCTTCAGTACTGACCCTGGAAGGGCGGTCCGGATGGCAGCTGGGCTACACCAAGCAGCCGGCAGGAGCGCTGGGCACCAGGGGTACCAAGCCAACAAGGGCCCCGGCTGGGGGGGCTGCAGGCGACCCCCCGGTGGGCCCCCCACACGCGCTTTCGGTTCCGCCAGTTTCACTCTTGATGGCTGAGAGAGTTGATCAGAAACTTCTCATCATGACACTCACACTCAACTGTACCGGATGGAATGCCCCCCCTTCGAGTGTCCGGTCGTGGGCCCACCTCAAGCACCCGTCATCCATTTCGAGAGCTCTTGAGTCCCACAACAAGTAGCCAATAGTGGGCCGCCCTAGGAGGCGGAGTCTGCGTCTTCCACCAATAGCAGCCCCAGGACAGGGGGAAGATTTAGGGGCACGGATTGGTTGCTGTGTACGGAGAACTGGCTCTTATTGGCTGAGTGGAGGGGAGAGGTGCTTTTGAGAGTGTCATGATGAGAACCTTTGTGTAACGCTCACAGCAAGTGAAAGTACGTACTCTAGTGGGTAGGTGTGAGCAAGACTGATGCAAGGGGCATGTTCGTGCTGCAAACACACTTTCCCGGTTTCGAACTCCTGCTCTTGGAGTGTCCTTGATCTTCACCTCATTTCTCGGCAGGTAGATTTATAATTCTCTGATATTTTAAGTCTCTTGTTTTCATCATTCTCAAAATTTATCATTTCTATAGAATCCTTTGCCTTGAATCCTTTCCGTTTTCATCGCCGTATTTTACTGCTGATTTCACATAGTCACTTCTGTTCTGTATTCTGTAAGCCATTTCATTTACTTCAACTACAAACAAACAAACATAAAAACAAATAAACAAACAAATCTATTAATCGTAAGATTTGAGGCTTTCACGGCGGTGACTATGAAGAAAGCAGTCTTCTGGGATTTGGCACCGTGTATATGTGGTGTTAACCGACGTTTCGGAGGAACGTATCGCCCCCATCTTCAGGGTAGAAGAAAAAGNAATCGACCGAGTCCCTGGTCACTGGGAGGTGAATCATTCCAGCTGTTCTGTACAGTAGACCCTAAATTCCCCCTTGTTTGTAATTGAACCTTATGGTTCAGCATCGTCTTCACAAAAGCTCACTCAAGCAAACTGAAGTCAGTTCCTGCCCTCTTCTTTATTAGGATCGCAAAATTACCCCGCAGTTTCTGTCCCCCTTCAAGTGTTACTTTGCCATGAGAGTTTTCAACCTAAATTCTGTATGCATTTCCTTTAAACCTTCCAGGGGTCTATTAAGAGTTCTGTCGTCTTGGATGTGGCTACACGTACTCGTAGCTCAGTAGTACAAGTCCAGTGCTACCAATTTACCAAATTATTGCATCCTACAAGAATTTTCCGGTTTCATTATTCTTCATAGTCACAGACAGACATTGCTCTGGTATGAGCAGTAGAATGCTCATCGCCGCTAAAATAAAATCACACTTAGACATAGGCTCATCGCTGGCGGGCTCTAATACAGCCAACAAATCCATATCTTTCGAAAGGCAGTTCCGTAGTTGAGGCGGGTTCGATCCCAGAACAGGTCATGTGGATTTTGTGATGGACAATGAAGTACTGGGGCAGGTTTACACCACGCCAGCTCCCTTTCCACCAGACGCTCGTCTTGCGATCCGACGTGGCGAAGTTGATGGAGGCCCTGTGCTACAAGCCGAATGGTCGCGGGATCGATTCCCGATACTATCTTTAGATTTTCCACTTGAGCTAATCCTTCCAGCCGTATTATTGTCCCGGGATCGACTAAGCCTCTAACAGAAATGAGTACCAGGAATCTTCCTGAGAGGTAAAGGACGGCCGGCGCTTACGGCTCACAACTACACCGCCATCTGTGAGCTGATTGTTTAGAAAATATGGGAACCTCGACGTCTCACAACCCTATGGGCCTCCACGGCCTGTTACAGGGATAGCTTTACCTTACCTTTCTTACGATCCGTCACTCTATTATCGATGCTGAGTGCGTCGTTAAATAGATGTGACCGAGCGTCTGCAGTCCGTCCAGACAATTGCTCTACGAGTGGACGCTCTCGGTTTGTTATTCACGAATCGTCTTACCATTCGACGCCGTGCGGTCTGAGCCGAAGTGTTTACTCGACCCTCTATATAGGCCTAACACCTGAGCCTAGACAGTGCAAGCCTGTTTATAGGTTTTATATGACCGTCGGAATAAACGGAGCTTCTCCTCCTTCTGTATGTTCCAATTCCCATCTGTGACTAGACAGTCATTTACCTCTTTACAGAGCCGTTTTACTACTCACATTTCCATTGGCCCAGATGGGCTCCTATTTTGCCTCCTCCTCCTTCGATTTCATGACCATCTTGCCTGTGTAAAGGTTCGGCCACAGAGAGCGCTACGCTATGTTCGCTACGTACTCTACGTACGCTACGCACGCTGTGTACACTCTGCGACGCAGCTAACATAGGGAACATAGCGTACGTAGCGAACGGAAGTCTATGTGGCCAGTCACATTGGCAATAAAGGGAGATATTTTTCTGTTCGTATAGCGAACATAGCGTACGTAGCTCTCTGTGTGGCCGAACCTTAACTGAGGCACTTCCAGAACCTATAAACATCCTCCCTGAAAATGGAGACATCATGCTCGTAAGTAACTGTATATCTGCCTGCAAGACCACATGTCTTCATGGAGTTTAGCCCTGCTAGAGACTCTGCCATTTCCGCAGCTACACAAGAATTTCCCAGAGGTTTACGGAGCCCGAAAGTTCATTACCTGTTCACAAGGGACATCCAATGATTCCTGTCTCGAACCAAATCAATGTAGTCCATACCACCCCATCCTATATCTCTACGATCCATTTTAATATTATCCTCCCTCATATATGTAAGGATATAAGAACACAATTTGAAGAATGGTCTCCGTGAAAACATAAGCCTTAAACCCACATGAATTTTAAACTTTATTGACGCAAATGTCATGCTTCATTGTGTTCAGTGAGCCGTATACAAATGAACTAAAACAACCACTGAACTCTATAACACTCTCCGCATCTTCGCATCTCAGTTGTCTTAACCGAAACTGGCTTTCATGTGTCTTCCCACCCTTGCGTACGCGCAAGCGCAGTATTCCTGCCTGTTGCGACATAATAGTATTCGTGCGTCGTATTCGGGAGGTGCTTTGTTCGAGTCTAGGTCCCAGTGCCGGATGTCATAATGAATCCACTTGTGAGTTTCGTCAGGCCTTCCAGTAAAATCCTCTTACTTGGATTTCAAATGCATCATGACCCTTACGTCCCACACCCTTCCCAATCCAACATTCACAAGCAATCAAGAAATAAATAACAAAAGACATGAAAGAGCAGACAAACCATTAGCCCTTCGTAGTGTAAATATAGTCTTAACGATTAAAATTTCAGTTCCTACCTCATAGAAAATACTGACATATAGACCCACTGTCAAGTAACAGCTGTGTAAACAGGTCACAGTACAACAGCCGTTGCTAGGAAACAGTCCTGTGGATATGCTGTTTCCCCGGAAACGAGACAACACACAATCATAAAAGAGACGTTTACTGTGCGATACGTGCAGGGGCTACATAACGGGTTCAACCCAAGCTCGCGATTTGTATATGGCCTTCAAAATCCCTTACCTATATGACTATATAACACAATTATGTAGGAAACAAGCAGAAGTCATACAAAATCATGAAAATGAGAATATTCGAAATATTGGACAAGGCGAAGCCCGACACAGAAAGTATAAGAGGCTTAAACTTGGAGACGGTCAGGCATAGACCGTTCAAGTGACTAGACTGTCGTGGTAGCGAATACTGCTAGAAACAGGGCATAATCTGCTGTACTGAGCCTAGACTGACAGAGGCCTTGTATATATTGTACATAGAAATAGGAATTAAGATTAAATTTGTAAATATATGAAAATACTGACAATGAACTTACTAACACAGACTATGACTGACAAATGACAGACCGACCTCTAGTCAGAGAGAGCGCCCCAAATGGACAGGACAGTAACTTCGTATAAGAAAAAATATGGGGCTCGACACCAAGACAGACAGACTGACTGACCGTCAGTCGCAATGTGACTTTGACTTTGACTTATGACCTTTGAAGTGACTAAACTGCCGTTGTAGCAGAAAATATATAAGATAGGCACAATCTGCTTTGCAAAGCCTGGATTGACAGAGAACTTGTATGTAGAGCAAAAGGAATAACATGCTATATGTTACTCGTAAGAGACAAACTCATCTTCTTGTCACAAAGGATGTTACATAAGGAGCACGACCTCTAGTCGTGTGCCTCAGTGGGCTTGGCGCCAAGACGAACTGATTGGAGGTAAAACCACCCGTCGTAAAGTAGCTCTGAACTGTGAGTTGTGATTGAGTCAGCTGAGAGTTGCAATTGTGACATGAGAAGACTCACGCCGGGGACAGCTGCAGAACACATAGGAAGGGAAACGTATGTCGTTAGAAGCCTCTACCAAGTAACGTCTATTGAAGACTGAGAAGACTTTATGTGTACTGTAGTTACAGTGATATTAGGAGTGTCTAACTTATTGAGACTGCCGTAGTTAGTTAGTTAGTTAGTTAGTTATTAGAGAGGGTGGGTTTCCCCATGCACTTAGACCTGTAGTGGTCCATTGTGCTTCCCTCTATGATTTCTACCAGCCTCTATATCCTACCGGTATTGGTGCTTACCATCAGTCCCGCCCAGCCAGCGAGACCGGCTCTACTAGCTGAGAGGTATCTATAATGCTTCCCCCATCTACCAGAGGTATTAGAGACTGCTGTTGGGCGGGAAACGTCCGTAATTTTGCTCAGTGGCCTCCTTTGGAGACATGAGGTTCTTTTACGTGCCGTAAAGCTACGACACGGGACTCACGGCTTAAAGTCCCTCCCGGAGGACTTGTTCCCTGAATTTTTCCGCCCTTAAAAATTCGACGATCTCCGCCGGGTATTTGAACCCGCGTACTACGAGTCATAAGGTGGGAACGTTACCTCTAGATTACGGAGGCCGCTGACTGCCGTAGTTACTGGTATTTGTTGTCACGAGTGTTAAGTGATCAATAAATATAATTACCAATCGAAACCCCGTCTACAGTCACTCAGTCACGTGACAATACATTTATTACATTTAGGCGTTCGTGTAGGAATGTAGGCGGAGGAATATGA